GGGGGGGGGGGGGGGGGGCAGCCTGGCTGCTGGAGACAAATTAATATCCACTCCATTTTCCCCTCACCCCCCTCGTCCCCCCTCCTCACCCTCCAACCTTTGGTTGACACCTGCCTCACAGCTGTCAGCCTCTGATCCGTCACATCAGACACGTTTCCCTCCTCGGTTTCTGTAGTTTTATCATCGACTCTTCAGTGAATTCTCTTCTAGAAACTTCCACAGAAACAGAAATAAAATAAAAAAATCTATAAAATATTTAGAGGTCGTACTACAACCACATCAATAACAACAATTAAAATACTTCTACTACTGTAAATACTACTACTACGATTACTGCTGCTACTGCTACAACTACGACCACTACTACTACTGCAACTACCACTAATTGTACTACTACTTCTGCTACTACTATTACTGCTACTGCTAATCCTAGTGGTAATAGTACTACTACTAATTATACTACAACTCCTGCTACTGCTTATACTACTGCTACTAATAATATGCCATGCTACAGTAGTTCAGTGCTCACTCCATAGACCATAGATACATATGAAATAATTATTTCCGTCGGCAGGTTGACAAACGATAATTAATGAATTAGCATGAATACTACTACTGATACATATTTAATATTCATAAAAAAAGTTCTCTTCTCTTCTGATATCAGTGATGATGATAACAGTCGTACGTCGGACGGACGTCGTACTTTAGTCGCTCAATAGAACAGTTGAATTTCCACATCTGTTTTCCATCAGCCACTGTATCCACTGATATCATCACTGCCTGAACACCAGGCCAGGCAGAGCTTGGTGTTTCTGCTCTGTGACCTTCCCAGAGGGTAATGTATGCATCCTCTGGGCCTGGAGCCCGGCTGGTCCGCTGGGACCCCGCGCTTCCATCAAGGTGCTTCACCTTGCAATCTGCTTGTTTTCAACCTCTCAGAGCGACGTCCACCTCCACTCATCGACATGTCTCTGAGAGGACGGCCTGCACTTTCAGCTGGGATTAGATTATCTGCTGCATCACGAAGTCAAAGTATTTCACCGTCTCCTTCAAGCTTTTCCTTTTTCTGCAGTGACATGGCGGAATCAACGGGAATACGACAGGGACGTTTATATATATATATATATATATATCTGAATGGAAACATTTGCTGGGTACGAATATTTTAAGATGCTACAGATAAACCCCCGCGGCCGAGAAGCCACAACAGCAAAAAAAAAAAAAAAAGACGCAACATCGTGCGTTTGTTGAAGTAAATAAAGAACTACAGGTCTCCTACTGAGCCGGTTATCCTTCAGTGAGGTGAAGAAATATCCTCAACTCCAAAAGTGGACAGATTCTTGACAAGAGGCCCAGAGAAAGTCCAGATATTCTAGCTCAGCACCACCCACAGTGTCATGTGAAGACAAAGCGTGAAACAGAGGGAGACGAAGGAGGTAGATGAGAGCAGAAAAAGACTGAAAGAGAGAAAAGAGGTGGAGGGGGGTTGGGGACCAGCCGTAACCTGACAGTGCTGTCAATCGAAGCCATCTGGGGAAGGTCGGGGACCGAGCAGGGCACACACACACACACACGTACACACACACACACGCGGGGCCTCCAGCGCCTTCATAAGAAAGACGGAACGAACATGCTGTGAGCCTGAACCTTTTCCAGAAGTATTGTAACACCCCATAATTATTCTCCCAGCTTTAAAATATCTGTATGGGGTTTTTTTTTCTACAGTTTTCACATAAATAATAAAAGGCTCAGACTTGGGCTTCGCAGCATGTGTTAGCTCAGCCAGCCCGGAAGGAGAGGACTTAAGGTTAAAAATCTTTAAATAAGCTACTTTGGTGTCACAATATAGCCGTAAAATCTTATTTCCCACCGTTCTGTTGGAGGGTGTGCAGCTCCACGAATCACCACCTGCTCGACGCTGTTGTACGCTAGGTTTTTTTTTTTTTATGTGGCAGTGCTGTAGTTGAATTCCTGCAGGAAGCATTTTATTTCATAACAACTTTTGACATTCTGTATAGCAACTGCAGTGAAGCTGAAGGTTTGACAAAAATCTCATCTGATTGGCTAAAAATCCTACCCTGTTATTGCCTTAGTCACTGCTATTTTCACTGCACTGCACTGGACGGGCAAACTGGGAATTTAAAGATGAAAAATCATCAAATCAAACAAACCCCCCTGACCCAAAAGCTGTTCAGTAGACCAACACCCCGCTGTGCCACAGTTAGACTGATTAATTGTGAAAGTGAGAGAGATTAAAGAGGGCAGGTCCCGCGGGCGGCTGCTAATGGATTTAATATTCATGAACCTCTGGTAAGCAGAGAGGAGCAACAGGGATCCAATTTATCCTGCAGACGCTTTTTTTACACTTGTGTAGAAAATATGAGGTGGAGGAAATCCCCTGAACCCTGTATTCATTTATACACTTTTGCAATATTCATTTCGTCTGCACCTGAAGGCATCGTGTGTAAAGAGGACGGCATGAATATAAACCCGTCCTCTCGACTCACCTGACTGCTCCTCCGTGCTGGCGGGCGGGGTGGTCGGAGGCGCAATTGGAATCTCTGTTTCAAGAAAAAAAAAAAAAGAAGAAGAAAAATTAGAGAAAACAAACAAACGTTGATGAAGCAGATCTAGACTCTAGTGATAACTGCTCTGAATAAACACCATTTCTAGAAAGCAGCCACGGGTACAACAACGGAGCCTGAGGTACAGGAGCTCCTCTGCTCTTCATCCGTCATCATCCACCTGATGAAAAGTGCCAGATTTTAAAAAATGAGTCTGGTTTGCGAAATTAATTTGCGAAGATTTATGACTTGGAGCTCCATGGGCTGTAGATGGAGTCGGAGATGAAATATGACTCTCTGTACAAAAAAAAAAAAAAAAAATAGGCAGAACCAGTCACTGGGTCCTACGATAGACTGGTTCTATAATGATAACAATAATAATAATTCTCAAAATAATAACAATAATTATATAAAATAATAATAATAATTATACAAAATAATAGCTTGTGTAATTATTATTGATAATTGTGATAATATATTTTCATATTTCAATAATAATAGTAGTAATATTTGTTTGATTTTGATGTAATTCACCTGATGCTACTTGCTAATAGGTCGCACCGCTAATTTGATCTCGTTTTGCTAATTGTTGCTAATTATCTATTACGCTGTTATTTAGAGGCATTTCCTTCTTTTTCAAGTGGAACGCTGAATATTGACTCATTTGTAAATAAACCGATGACTGAACTCCAGGTGGAACGCTGAATATTGACTCATTTGTCAATAAACCGATGACTGAACTCTTTCAACTCTTCTGTCCTCGACACTGGAGGGTTTATTCAGTTAACAGAGTTCTTTATGGGGATCAAGAAGCCGGGAGTTCTGTGGCGCTCTAACCCTGAGCTCCATTTAAATGGTTTGTTTATTTTAGAAAGCAGATTTACTGGACACCGACCCAGCAGTCGGACACTGGGATTTAACCAGAGTGGGAACGTCCGTGTGTCCAGAGCACAGAGTTCCTGGATGGTGTGTCAGTTTATCTTTGGGATGTGTGTGTGTTTACTTCTATAGTTCGTAGTGTGAGGTGCGTTTTTTTTTTTTTTGCCGCCACTCGTGACACGACACGAGACATAAGTTGAGGCCGTACCGTCCCGCAGAGAGGTGAAGACTTTGTAAAGATTTGTTCCACGTACTTATACAGGGGGCGATGGGCGAGCGGCTCTGCTGGTAGCCTTTAGCGCAGCGGTTGCACGTGATTCCCGTCACGCCGTCTTTGCAGGGACATTGTCCTGTGGTTTGGTTACAGGTTTTCCCAGCAGCACCCACGGGATGGCAATCACATGCCGTGAGAAAACAGGGGGGGAGAGCGAGGGGGGGGGAGAGAGAGAGCGCGA